TTTTTTTTTTTTTTTTTTTGGAACCTGTTGGAGAACCATTCTGTGAAACTGTGCCTTCTACATTATGGAAAAGTGTTTGTTAAAGTACTTTTTCTGTTTGATTTTAAACATCTAGCAGACATGTGTAGTACTTGTTCTAGTGTGAATGGGAAAACCAATACTTTTTCTTTCTTTTAAAATATATTAAATTGTTTTTCACAATGTTACTGTTTTTATTGAATTTTTGATCAGAATAATAGCAGCCTTGGTGAGCATAAGACGTATGTGTATATGTAATAATTTTAATCGAATGACTTTTTTAAGGAACATTTAAGCGAGTCTACAGATGTCTGTGCCTGTGTCTGAGTGAAGCAAGAAAACATGAACAAAAGCATGTGGAAGTGATCTGTATTTATGATAAATGACTCTTTAAATAGCTCGCTGTCTGTTTCTTGTGTTGACGTTGTGTTGGCAATGTCTGTGTCAGGGTTCTGGTGATGAGGTATTTTCCACATTAGATTAGATATTCCAGTTCTCATCACTACAAGCGTTTGTCAACATCCCCACCCTGATTTTAAACATGCCTTCCCATCACCCCCTTCTTATAATAACGGTCAGGGTCTGTGTGAACATGTCAACAATTATCATCATTGAAACAGGTGTTGAGCAATGTCCGTGCCCTAAAGAGACATGCAAGTACACACACATACAGAATCCCCTCTCACACTTGGCTAAATTAGAGTGCGGCGCAGGCGAGCTGCTTTAGGTCAGTCTGAGCATGCTCAGAGAAGCGTACGAGAGCTCTTTTGATACTCGGGTGTCACGGTAACCGGGCCGTATCTGGGGGAATGAGGCGTGGCCCCACTCCTCTGGTCCACTGCTTGTTGAATCATGTGCAGGGCTGGATTGAGTTGCATTGTGGGAGTTTGAATGGTTCCTTGGAACTCTTTGGATGGATTAGTGGGATTTATTTAGCTTTCAGAAGAATATTGCGTTCATAATAATTCAGTAAGGAAAAAAGGATGCTTGAGGCTCTGAAGCTCTTGCAATTCCCGGGTTGCTTTTCAGCAGCGATGGCATAGTGAAGCTAAATAAATAATTAATATTGAAAGTTCAAAGAGTGATCATTTTTCACTAATATACACCAATTAAAGTAGTTCTTTCATTGCATTGTACATTTTTATATGTCACCAAATATCAATGATGCTTTAATTTTACAATTTGTCACTTCTCTTACATGTAATGGAGTACATTTGTTGTTTCTGCTCTAGAGTCGCAGCTGCGTGAGGAAACTCTGCTGATTCTTATGGCCTCAGAACTTGTGGCCCCTCAGGGGCCCGATGACATGAAGCTCTCAGTCCCTGGAGCCACACAGTACCTGCAGAGTCTGGCTCACATAGCCATGAGTATCTGTGTGGAATCACCTCACCTGTGGAATTGTCCAGAGTCTGACGGGTTTCAGAGAGACCTCCTGGAGCGACTGCTGCGGTGTCCGCTCTATGAGGTTCGGCTGTTTGCCTGGAACAGTTCTTCAGGAGACTTCAGAAGACAGAGGAAGAGTTTTAACGGGGTCAGGGACCCTTGCCCTTTGACCTCAGTGTGTCCAGCTTAACCTCCCTGGCCCTTCACGAGACTTACCCTGGGTGTCAAGCCATGGTGAGGAAACCACGCTTTTGCTTCAGCATACTGTACACAACTTTATAAAACGCTGCATAAAAAAATTTAAAATACAACTCAAAAACAACTTGCAAAAGCTGTAACATTACAAAACTTTAAACACCCTGCAAAGGCACAAAAACAACAACTTCATAAAATGATTTGCGTTACAACTTCAAACATTCTACTAAGCCTTACACAACACAATACAAAAAACTTCAAAAAAAAAATTTGACACAACTTACCAACTTCTTTACAAAACGTCAAACACTGCTCTACAAAAACTTTGTAAAAAAACACTTTACAAAAAGCAACACTATTTAAATTATTTAACAAAACTTCAAACACTCCACACAAGCACACAACTTCACAAGATTGTTACAACTTGAAACACTCTACTAAGCTTTTCAGAACACAATGCATAACTTTACAAATTACTGAACACTTGACACAACTCCACAAAATGCAGTGCAAACGTTTACAAAACTTCAAACTTAACAAAAATACTTTACAAAACTCCAAAAACCTTACAAAAAACACTACAAAAACTTAAAAATAAAGCAACACACACACACACAAATGGTTTATCAAAATTGTGACTTTACAAAACTTTAAACACTCTGCAAAACCTTAACAAAACTTTACAAAATGATTTGCGTCACTACTTCAGACACTCTACTTAGCTTTACAAAACAGTACAAAAGCTTCAGAAAACTTGACAACTTCACAAAATTCAGAAACCAACAACTTCACAAATGCAGTGCAAAACTTAAAATGTCAAACAGAAATAATTAAACACTAAAACTTTACACAAAACAACAAACTATTTAACAAAACTTGAAACAAAATTGCAACTTTACAAAACTTTAAACACTACAAAAACGTTAACAAAACATCACAAAATGATTTGCATTACAACTTCATGCTTAACAAAGCACAATACAAAAACTTTACAAATCACTTGGAAAACTTCACAAAATGCAGTGCAAAACTTTATAAAATGTCAAACACTCTGAAAAACATTCTACCCCCCAGACACACCCCTAGACCTCACAACAAACACAACAGAAAAAAAAAAAAAAATTTTTACAAAAGCAAAAATGAGAAGCAATGAATTTATTTTGGACTGTAAGAGTACTAGGAAAAATAATCTTTGCAGGTCTCACGATTTTTGCGAATGAAACTTAAAGGGATAGTTCACCCAAAAATGAAAATTTTATGTTTATCTGCTTACCCCCAGGGCATCCAAGATGTAGGTGACTTTGTTTCTTCAGTAGAACACAAATGAAGATTTTTAACTCAAACCGTTGCAGTCTGTCAGTCTTATAATGGAAGTGAATGGGAATCATGGCTTTGAGAGTCAAAAAAACATACACAAACAAAACCAAATTAAACCCTGCGGCTCGTGACGATACATTGATGTGTAAAGACACGAAACGATCAAGAAGACGCGTCACGCGCCGGCTGTCGAGGACGCTCAGGACTGTTCAGACATTGCCGTGTATCAGAGGTAAAAACGATATAAATACTGTTCAGTTTCTTGCACAGACCGATCGTTTAGTGTCTTTACACATCAATGTATCGTCACGAGCCGCAGGGTTTAATTTGGTTTTGTTTGTGTATGTTTTTTTGACTCTCAAAGCCATGATTCCCATTCACTTCCATTATAAGACTGACAGACTGCAACGGTTTGAGTTAAAAATCTTCATTTGTGTTCTACTGAAGAAACAAAGTCACCTACATCTTGGATGCCCTTGGGGTAAGCAGATAAACATCAAATTTTCATTTTTGGGTGAACTATCCCTTTAATGCAGGTTAGCAGTCGAAATCCTTGGATTTCACCAGGTTGAAATTCACCATTACACTGATCACAAATCCGGTCCTGAGATTAGTGAATTCAGTCGTCTAAATGACACATGTCGTCATATGGGGATTCTCTCTGATTATCTGAATAAACATCTACACTGTAAAAACCTGCTGGACAAGAGCTAGTCACAGCTGTGTCTCTGAATGGAACTGGCTGAATGTCATTTAATTTCCATTCACAGGCTCAATACACACAAACGCAGTTTCAACTCCGAGCTTAAGCCCTGCAAAGTGAAATGGCAGGCGATTTCCTGTTTAGAAACAGGGGTCGCGTTTCAATTCCTCATAAACACTCAACCAACCATCAATTACCCTCCTGTTTTGCCGCTTCTGTCATTAAGCAACGTTCAAACTGACGGGAATCAGCTTTTCTGGAAGTGTGTGTGTGTGTGTGTGTGTGTGTGTGTGTGTGTTTGTGTATTTTCTGCGTGTCTGTTGCAGGGATTTTGGCTGGGTGTGCATGCGTGTTCTTAAAAGCTGTTTTATTGGCCAACTGTTAATGTTTAAAGTGCTGCTGTTAGGCTCTAGACTCTCAATATGGCCTGGTTTCCATGGTAAGTCTACTGTTCCACCAAAGCATTCTGGGAAGTGATGAAGAAAGTTAGGTTAATTTCCTCTGTGGGCTCAAATGGCAACGCTAATAAGAAAATATGCATCGAACTGCAATTGCACTAAAGCCTAGTGCCTAAATCCATTCTGAAAATATTAATTTTAGTCTTAAGACTAAATCCACATTGGTTTCGTAATGTACTTTAATATAATATAATGTACCGTAATATAAAATACTTTTTTTTTTTAAGGCTCTTGTGCACTCCAAGAAATAATAATCAACCAAACAAGTCTAAATGATATCAACAAAGCACTGTAAGGTACCTGGCCTGTCACGGGAAGGGAAAGGAAAGACGGTGGGGGTCTGAGGAGAAGAAAAACAAGTCTTCCGTTAACTCCCTCGCTCTGCTAAGGGGGAAACCCGAGGGCCAGAGCTGAACCAGATGTGTTTTATGTGCAAGGGGATGGAGGGATAGATGGATGGATGGGGAGGGAGGAATGCTAACCGACGGGAGGGTGGAATAAGGGAATGTTCATATGGATGAAAGGAATATGGTTTTAGAGGTGTGTCTGGCAAATGAAGCACTGAAAATATTCACAAAACATCCTGGACCGACTTCTCGTGTTCTTTGTGTTTGATTAGTCAGGGTAGATGCAATAGTTATTATGACATGCATGAAAATGAGGCTGTGTAGAATAGATGTACAGTCTGTTCAATGGTTTTGTGAAAATACGGCATCTAGCCTGACTAAAGTCTCCATTTATTTTGGTGTTTCACAGGTTTTGCAGGTTCTGCTGTCCTCCCACTTTCTTCCCTGCTGCACTGGAGAGATGGGATGACATCTTTGAGCTGTCAGGAGGTTCTAGAGTATCTCCTCACATTGCTGGAAACCTCTACACACAGGTGAACCATACAGATGAAACTATCATGTTTTTCTTTTTTCATTGACTTTTGAATTATTGCAGAAAATTAGCTTTGTGACCAATGAAAGTTTGATTCTTACCCGTTTTGTTTATCATGATAATCAACTTAATCAACTTAGCATAAATACAGGTGGCGAAAGTAAAAAGCTATAGGGTATAAATAAACTACACCATGGTTGCATGAGTTCAGCATCACCACCATTATGCTTCCGACAACTCTTTCTTAATCTTGATTTAAAATCCACAAATGGGAAAGTTTGAGTTAGAATACAATAGTTCCCAAAAGCGCATTTATAAACATGATGCTATGAAAGAGGACAAGTTGAGTAGATGAGTTTTACAGTTTGCCATGATAAAGTTTACTGTCCCAAACAACCTCTGTAGGCCCATTTTCAAGACACATAAAGCTTAAAATCACATTACTGATGTATTTTGTGTCGTAGAATAAAGCGTGAAAATATCTTGAGCTTGTGTTGACCACAAACCTTTTTTCAGGCATAACTAAAAACCCATTAAAAAAAAACAAAAAAACAAAACATTGACTTTGGGACGTTGTAATCTTGATTTAAAATCCACAAATGGGAAAGTTTGAGTTAGAATAGAATAGTTCCCAAAAGCGCATTTATAAACATGATGCTGTGAAAGAGGACAAGTTGAGTAGATGAGTTTTACAGTTTGCCATGATAAAGTTTACATTACTGATGTATTTTGTGTCGTAGAATAAAGCGTGAAAATATCTTGAGCTTGTGTTGACCACAAACCTTTTTTCAGGCATAACTAAAAACCCATTAAAAAAAAACAAAAAAACAAAACATTGACTTTGGGACGTTGAACGTTATGCTAGGTCATAGGCCTGTCCTGTTCCAAAGATAAAGATGGAGATCTAAACAAGCCCAAATCGCTAATAATATTTTAGAAACAGAGTATCAGGCTACCATATTTTATCAATTGTATGTATGCAATTTGCTGTTATTAAATTGTATTATGTAGCTTATAACAGCATTTAGCATTGTGAAACGCCTTGCAGTGTATTGCTGTTTGTACAGTGTGACATGATACGTGTCTTTTGTAGCAGTTGCCCTGTGATTTAAGCAACACCATAATACTTGCTGAGTGTGTGTCTGTGCGATTGTGTAATGCACTTGGACACTTTCAGTGTTGTGTAATGGCACAATTACTGAGTGTATTTTGGTACCCGTGTTCTGTTGGACAACACATGCTGGATTACACCTGTTCTGAGATCAAGTTAGTAAAACAGCCCCTCTGGACTCCGTCTGGGGGTCGTTTTCAAGTGTGTGTCAGTGTGTCTTCAGTTTATGATCAGACAGCGTTTATGATCAGGGTCCAGATGGTCGTGGAAAAATCTGGAAATTCTAAAATGGCTATTTCCAGGACTGGAAAGTTCATGAGTTAACGTTCTAGGTAGTTTTTAATAATAATAATAAAATCTTTCTATAGTAATTTGTATTATTATTATTATTTATTTATTTTTGCTCTGCTCTAAAATAATTAGTTGGCTACATATGACATGAGTTCTTGTTCAATAAAAAAAAAAAACTGTAGAGAAAATTCTCTTAAGAATTGCTAGTAAATTTCACAGTCAAAGGGATAGTTCACCCAAAAACGAAAATTACCCCTTGATTTACTCACCCTCAAGCCATCCTAGGTGTGTATGACTTTCTTCTTTCAGACGAATCGAATCAATTATATTAAAACATGTCTGGCTCTTCCAAGCTTTATAATGGCATTGAATGGCCGTTGAGATTTTGAAGCCAAAAAAAGTACATCCATACATCATAAAAACTACTCCACACGGCCCGGGGGGGGGGTTAATAAAGGCCTTCTGAAGTGAAGTGATATGTTTGTGTACTTCAGCTAGGGATGCAACAATACAGTTAGCCCACGGTTCAATACATATCTCGGTTTTTTTAACCACGGTTCTCGATTTGGTTCTGATCGGGGGGGGTTGTTATTCAAAAGGGGCTTTCACACCATTTATTTCTAGGAAATCAGTTCTAGTAACTAGCCAGCAGGGTGGTTCCTAGAGAAACAATTTCCCCCTTGGGCCATTTTCCTGGTTGCATTCGTACCGGCAGCAGAAACTCTGAAGCAGCCGACAGCGTTCATAAACGTCAACAACCTGTGAGTGGAGGACGCAGTGATCGGAGCTGTTTTTGTTGTGTCGTGGGTTTCGTGATAACGGAGATGGTATGTAAACGCACAATGTAGGTGATAGAAAGAGCATGGAAATTTGACTAAATCTCCAAGACAATTTGCAGTGTTACATATCATCAAGGCTGAGAAAAGAACACAACGCTGCATCAACAGCTAAATGCTGTTATCGCTGTTTTCCATGTTCGTGGAGTAAATTTTTTTACATGGCCTTTTAAAAAATTCCAGGTAGTCTGTATTGCATGTGCGTTTGGCCAATCAGCGTACACTTACATCACTGGTAGTTCCTATAGTACTGTTTTAGACTGACTCTGTGGGTCTAATTTAGTTCCCCCAAACGGAGTTCTTAGAACTAAAGTCGTTCCCAGTTCCTGTGATACAGACACGCCAAAAAGTGGGTACTTCCGCCAATAGTTCTAGGAACTATGAAAAGGTTCCTCCAGTGCGAAAGCCCCTTATGCTTAAGCGACAGGAGCAGTAAGAAGTTAAGGAGAAAAAAAAATATTGCAATACTCTTTCTTTATTTTAGTTTCTTTATTTTATAAAACTCCACTTGTACACAATCCTAGTGTACTGTATAATATAAAATAAATAGACCGTAGTAGGAATGCACTGATCTTTTCATGGCCAATTCCAGTTGCCAATTTTGTATTTTTTTTTATTTTTATTAATTGTATTTTTTTTTTTAAGCAAGAGACAAGAAAGAATGAAAATATGAGTACATGAACAAGATGTGTATTTGCTTTGTTACAGGCCATCTGTAGCCATATAAAATTAGAGGCAACTTTGGCATTTTAATCACGATCCAAACAAAGATGCTACACACATCTAGCATGAGCAGTTTTTTTATTTAAATTAGATTGAATAATTTCAACATTTTAAGCAAATACAGAATGATCTGACCATAACTTTGTGAAACTATACTACATAAAACAACTGAATAAAACAAAAACAGCAGACGAACTGAATGAGATGCAAATTCACTCTCTGACAGCAGGTGGCGCGTCTGGAACAGCAGCAATACAGCTTTCTTTGCATGGTTACCGCTGTAAACAAAGCAGCGCAGCGCTTATGAACACTACTTGAATATGCATTATACAGAGGTAAGATGAAAAATAAATACTATCTAAACTTTTCTTAAGACAGTCAGTTCCCCTCAGAAACACATTTATATAAACCTCCAATTCAATATTTTGGATTTTCTTCCAATATTTCGCGCATTGTGAACAGTGATCTTGCTCTGCCTGCTACAGTCTTTTCTCCTCATTGCGTCCGTCTTCAGCGTGTCCGGCCTCTGTTAGCGGCCGTTTACAGACCTCGTAATTTTTCCAAACAAAAAACATTTTGGGAAATGATCACAATGCAGTTTGTGCAAGTCAGAGATCAGCCGAAATAAAACAAAAAAGGAATAAAACTGAAATTATTTAAATGCAAAACTGGAAAAAACACAGTAAACAAGCGCGTATTGAACCATGGATGTCATACCGAACAGTTCAATATTATATTGAGAATTGTGGCATGCCTAGCTTCCGCTACCTGTCCTAAGCGTGTTCAGGAGAGAGTGGCATTTCAGCGGATGACGTTGGCATAGCATAAGCCCCTGTGTAGCATGTATGGAAATGCATAAAAGAAAATATGTAGTTAGGTGTCTTCTATTCAATTACTGTGGAAAAATCAGTTCATGTGGAAAACAAGCCTTGCGCCATCAAAACCAACACTGACTTTCGCGCATTGTGAACAGTGATCTTGCTCTGCCTGCTACAGTCTTTTCTCCTCATTGCGTCCGTCTTCAGCGTGTCCGGCCTCTGTTAGCGGCCGTTTACAGACCTCGTAATTTTTCCAAACAAAAGACATTTTGGGAAATGATCACAATGCAGTTTGTGCAAGTCAGAGATCAGCCGAAATAAAACAAAAAAGGAATAAAACTGAAATTATTTAAATGCAAAACTGGAAAAAACACAGTAAACAAGCGCGTATTGAACCATGGATGTCATACCGAACAGTTCAATATTATATTGAGAATTGTGGCATGCCTAGCTTCCGCTACCTGTCCTAAGCGTGTTCAGGAGAGAGTGGCATTTCAGCGGATGACGTTGGCATAGCATAAGCCCCTGTGTAGCATGTATGGAAATGCATAAAAGAAAATATGTAGTTAGGTGTCTTCTATTCAATTACTGTGGAAAAATCAGTTCATGTGGAAAACAAGCCTTGCGCCATCAAAACCAACACTGACACAATTGATCTTTTCTATATTTTTGTTGCATCACCCTGCCCTCCCAGTTTTTGATAATAAACCGAAGTATGCACATGTTCTTGTATGTGTTTCAGTGTGGAGCTCTACTGTGCCGCTCTCTCCCTGACATGTCTTTTGGTGCTGCACCTGGCCAAATCAACGCCGCAGGTAAGGAAGAAGAAAAGAAACAAGAGACTGAGTAGAGGAAAGAATGAAGCATTGTGTTGGAAGTTTACAGACAGACTTAAGCGAGTTAAACTGGACAGTCTATTGCTCTCTATCTAGACTGGAGCAGATTACAGATAATTAACTCCTCCCAGTTTTTGATAATAAACCGAAGTATGCACATGTTCTTGTATGTGTTTCAGTGTGGAGCTCTACTGTGCTTCTCTCTCCCTGACATCTCTTTTGGTGCTGCACCTGGCCAAATCAACGCCGCAGGTAAGGAAGAAGAAAAGAAACATGAGACTGAGTAGAGGAAAGAGTGAAGCATTGTGTTGGAAGTTTCCAGACAGACTTAAGCGAGTTAAACTGGACAGTCTATTGCTCTCTATCTAGACTGGAGCAGATTACAGATACTTAACCTTATAACGGCTTAACATTCCGCCACATCTCACTACAAATAAGGAAATCCCTGGAAAGTCGATTAGCCGCTAGGTGTGACGAGAGGGAGGGGGACTGAGATGTATGGCCTCCAGTCCGTTAACAATGTGATTTCAATGACTACCATTCAGAAGTTCATGGTCAGTATTTTTATCTTTTATTCAGCAAGAATTCATTTATTAATTCACTTTACATTTTTACAAAAAAAAATTTTTTTTCTTTTTTCTAAATTATTTTAATCTTATTTTCTATTAATTTTAAATAAATGCTGTTCTTCTGAACTTCACATTTATCAAAGAATCCTGAAAATGTATCACATTTTCTACAAAAATATTTTCAGCTGTGATAATATTAAGAAATGTTTCTTGAGTAATGCTGAAAAATCAGCTTTGCATCACAGGAATAAATTTAATTTTAAAATATATTCAAATAGAAGATGGTTATTTTAAATTGTAATAATATTTCACAATATTAATGCATGTTTTTAATGTATTTTTACTTTTGAACAGTAGTGTATTGTCAAAGCATGACCAATCTCATATCACAATATATGCCGTGATAAAGTTGTTTTTGCTTGAAATTCAATGAAAAATGGTTTTACGTTTTAAATGTGGTAATATTTGGATAATACTCTGAACTAAATGCTTTAATCAAAAGAGGAAAGACTTCACAAAAAAAAAAAAAACACATTTGCATTAAAAATATTTTTCATTACATAAACAACAATAAACGATTCATAAGCAAGTGAATGATAAGTTTAGCATCAATGCAACAAAAATGAATAAAAAAATAAAACAAAAGACTCAGAACAGTAAAATTAAAATTAATATTAAAAATGGATTATGCTGATTACGATCAGAAACACTTTCTGAAGCACAAGCTGTTGTACAATAGCTGATAATATACCTTAAAGTATAGCATGTGAACACCATGATAATGATAATCATGCATTACTATGGTACATATCAACTTTCCAAGGCATTACTATCGTACACATCACTGTACCTTGGTACCATGGAATCACCACCGTTTTTCAGTAGTGTGTTTGTGTCACACAGCAGGAGCTCAGTGAGGCTGCAGTGGTCTGTCTGAGCAAATGGGGGGTCGTGCAGGGCTGCGGTGAGGGAACAACCTGCAGAAGTCAAACTCATGTCAGCAGAGGTGCTGGTGAAGGCAGTCCCCACCTTACTGACGGCACCAGCCCTTCCTCTGGGTGAGTGGACATCTATGGACAAGAACAAGTATGTAGGAATCTGAACTAAAGCTTACTGTGTGTGTGTGTGTGTGTGTGTGTGTGTGTGTTTTCCAGGTATCACACACACTGTGGCACTATGGAAGAACCTGTTTACTTTATTACAGGATGAAGATCAGGACATCAGGGACAGAGCAGCTGACTTCACCTGCTACATACCGGACCATTTACACAACACAGGTACACCAAACACATGCACACACACACTCATATTAAAGGAACATTCTGGGTTCAGTGCAAGTGAAGCTCTATTGACAGCCTTTGTGCCATAATTATCACAGACTATGTTTTTTTGTCAAAAAAAAACAACTTTTCACCTAAAATATTTTTTTGAATTACCTCTTGAGGATTTAATTTAATATTTCAATAATTTAACAACACATTTGCTAGTTTATACGCTTGTCTGATGTTAATGGTCACATGACTGTGTGTGTTTTCCAGGTATCACACACACTGTGGCACTATGGAAGAACCTGTTTACTTTATTACAGGATGAAGATCAGGACATCAGGGACAGAGCAGCTGACTTCACCTGCTACATACCGGACCATTTACACAACACAGGTACACCAAACACATGCACACACACACTCATATTAAAGGAACATTCTGGGTTCAGTGCAAGTGAAGCTCTATTGACAGCCTTTGTGCCATAATTATCACAGACTATGTTTTTTTGTCAAAAAAAAACAACTTTTCACCTAAAATATTTTTTTGAATTACCTCTTGAGGATTTAATTTAATATTTCAATAATTTAACAACACATTTGCTAGTTTATACGCTTGTCTGATGTTAATGGTCACATGACATGCAGGTAAACAAATAAAATATTATTTTTTTTAGTATTTCAAGTATTTAGTTTTGATGGTTTTTGTTTCAAATTTTTGTTTATTTATTGTAAAGTCAAATACATTCATACACACACACACACACACACACACACAATAAACAAACTTTGTGTGTTAGCAGGAAACTAGTATGCTAGTCACTTGCAAATCTGGTATGCGTAAGTAATATTCAATATTTCAGTGTCATGGCAATGCAAAGGCATTAAACCCAGTAATTTTCACATGCAAGAATACTAGAAAGGGACTGCTTAAATTTATTTTATTTTTATATATTTTTTTCTTTCTGATTTAATTCATTTTTATCTCTACATTATTAGCTTTTCATTAACTCATGAACCTCAATTTAGGTAATCCTATAGACACAATAAATAAATATATATATATATATATATGTATGTATATATGTGTATATATGTGTGTATATATATATATATATATGTGTATATATATGTATGTATATGTAACGCAACACAAGTATACAGACACAGGCAAGAAACATTGAAATACACACTGTTTAGTAAGTATAGCCACACAACTTAAGTGTTAGCATGAAATTAGTATGAAAAAGTCACTTTCTAACCTGGTCTTGTGCAAAGAAATATTCAATACTTCGGTGCCATGGTCATGTAAATCCAAGAATACTAGAAAAGGACTGTTTGCATGAGCGCAAGCTCACTCATTTACAGGATTGACGTCTGTAACACATACCAAAAGTTCTTCAAAGTTTCACCACTTAAAGGATGATTGTCACCTTTTACAGCTCAAATAAAACAATTTTGCAACTTCGAATTAATATAAGTACTTTAAAGAAAATGCAAGCTGCATATTTTTAAACACTTCCATTGTGAATGCATTGCTGTACTGATTTTTGCTAAGGAAAAAGTTGCTGCAATTACTGTGCTTGTATATAGAACCCAGAACATTATACAACAGCACTGACTCAGGAGATCAGATGAAGATGGCTGGAGTGTTTTGGAGGGATGGGGGGAGGTCAGGTCAGTGTTGTTTACGACCTCGCCTGACTGAGCGACAGAGGAGAGGTGTGGAGGAGAGGCGGTGAACGGCAGCCCTGCGCCTTTGAAATGGAGGTGTGTGGGTCAGCGATGCAGAGAATAGCGGCACCTCCGTCCCATAAATCAGTCACATCAAAACCACATCATTACCACATTCTCTGATACGCTGATATCCTGCTTCACATGGGCAAGAAAAACAAGAGCAGGATGGGGGAAGAGTCTGAGAAAGCATTGTCCCACAATCCTTTGAGCCTTCTCTTGTCGCCAACCCACAATATGTTACTGGTTTTGGGTAGCTGACATGAAATTTCAAGCAGTGACAGCTGCTGCAATTGATCTAAATGAAATGTAAAATTGTTATGCATGCAGTTTTTGTGACTTCATATTACACGGCTTGCTGGAATACTTGATTCTGATTGGTCAATCACTGCATTCTGAAAATGTTTTTGTATAATGATCGTTAAACTGTATAATTATTAGATTAGGTGGCAATCATTGTCTCAACCGTCATCAGCCAGTCATTATCACAAAATATTGGGGTTTATTTTGTGTTTAGTGACTGGCTAACTTCTTATTATCCCAAATGACAATGGCGTATTTGTACTTTAAAAATTGATTTGTCACTCCGCAGGTGTGTATAACTTTATATTTTATAATTTTATGTATTATGTTTTGACCTGTTTATTTAATGTTATTTTGGAAAAAAATAATGCATTACATTTTTTAATGCATTAAAATTTGCTATTATATTATAATAACACTACTATTCAAAGGTTTGGGGTCAGTAAGGCTTTTTTATTCATTTTATTTTTTATTCATTTATTTTTTTTAGGGCACATTAAATTGATTAAAAGTGACAGTAAAGACTTTTCCATTGTTGCAGAAGTTTTCAAAAGATTCCAGAAAAATCCAGAACAAAAAATATAAAAATATATTAAGCAGCACAACTGTTTTCAACATTAATAATAAATGTTTCTTGAGCAGCAAATCAGCATATTTCTGAAGTATCATGTGACACTGAAGACTAGAGTAATGATGCTGAAAATTCAGCTTTGCATCACAGGAATAAATTACAGTTTAAAATATTAAATGAATTTTTAGTATTTCACAATATTACTGTTTTTCTGTGTTTTTAGTCAAATACAGTAAATGCACCATTGGTGAGCATAAGAGACTTCTTTCAAAAACTTTTAATGAAAATCTTTCCAGCCCCAAACTTTTGAACAGTATTGTATATGTGAATTTTAACCTAAAATGTTGATGGTGAAAAATAGTTTATTGGTATGTTATGTTTCAACACTTTTCTAGTTTTAGAAAGAAAGTTGACTCTTGAGAAAGATGAAGCAGTTGAGATATATGAAGTAACTCTAACATGCACTGTAATCACATTTCTGGCTTTGTACTTGGCCCTCTTTCTTTTCGCCGTCACAGTGAAGTCTTTGTGCAGTACACGAAACCAAATTCAATTAGACACTTTTATTCCTCCGCTATCTCAATACAAATTAGGTTGGAAATCAGAACCCCTGGCATCACTTGACAAGGCTTTTAGGATGAGGGTGAGAGGTACATCTGATAACAGCATTAAAATGGAATAGGACCATATTCTCACGGGGGGAACTCGGGAGTGTTCAAGCATTTCAAATGTAATTACTGTGTCTGAAATGCTCAGCGCTTTTCACTTGTGTTTTGCCAGGTTTTATTTTTTATTTTATTTTTCGGGGCTGGTTTGCTTTCGCCTCAGTTACAGAGACGTAAGCCTTGAACAAGTGTAAATATTTGGTGACGAGTAGTTGCTAAGTTGTTCTAGGAGGATGCTAGTGTGTTGCTTACCGGCCCAAGTCACAAAGCTCTGTAATATGCAAGTCTACAGCATTATTAAGGGACTTTTTACCCGTTCTTTCCTCTGCCAGGCAAAAACACATTCTGATCGCTTAGAAATGACCTGTAGTCAACAAAACACATGATTTGAGGCATTACTCATGTCAGAAGTTCAAACAGTGTGGGACGCGTAGTTTATTGCTTGGGGTTAAGGGACTGTTTGAATCCTTAAACCAAGTAGCATTAATTATGTTGCCTTGATGTATTATTGTTGTCGTTATAATGCGAATCACCATAATAATGCTATTTTTTTCCCACTAGCGAATCGCTTTTTACTTGCCATATTTAAATATAAAGCATTATTACGGTTATTACATGTAAATTGTGAAGCCAATCAGTTCAGCTGTTTTGAAAAACCTTAAACATTTGTTGCTCGCATTACTCCCGTTGGTATTGTTCTTGGCGTGTCTGGTTTCGTTTTGAGGACGTTCTCACCAGTCAGCTAATGTCAAACTCTAGCATTGTGCGTGTAATGTCTTTCGCAGTAGATGCCCTGTAGTCATTCATGTAATGGATTACAAGAAGAGGTCTGAACTGATCCGTGGATCATCCATCCATTAAACCAGTAGTGTCCAAATGGAGCGCCAAAGGTGCTCAATCATTAAAACAGTTAAACAGTTTAGGCATATTGACCCTGTTATTCATTTTAGCTTGTATGTAGAGCTTAACAAACATAATCTGGAACTAAAATCCTGTTTTCTCCATAAAGAAACAGATTTTTTAAAATTATATAAATCTTCTCGGATTTTCTGCACATAATCTGTAAGAGATCCTCATTAGATCCATGGAAATGAGCAACCGTTGGTCTTTTCTCAGATCCAACTCGTTTTGGTCTCTTTTTAAATCCCAATGGAGAGAGTGAATGGGACAAATACTTCCTGAACCAAGGCTGCTGAAAAAATGGGCTGTCAGGGCCTGTTGACACCGGAAGGATTCTGAGGTACCACATACGTTACGGAGCCTTTTTCCCATCTGTCTTAGGGTCACGTGACCGTGTTCCAGGCCTTTTAACCAGCAGACACCTGAGTGATACTGTAACACTCCCGTTAGACAGGTTAGGCTGATGTAAGGGACACTAAAGAAGTCTAGCAGACGTCTTAGTTTTGACATAAATGTGTCAGATGATATCAGTCTCCACCTGATTCTGCTGGCCTGCTGAATATTCAGGGCCATAATCATGAAAGTAAGTTGCACTGGAAATCAAATGTAGGTTTAATGTATGGATTTAATGATTTCTTGCTCTTCCAAAAGGAGCTGACAGAGATTGAGAGTTTTAGCTATTGTTTTATTTCTGCTTTTGACAACAACAACAAAAAAAAGTAATTACACTGCAACAGTATAATTCAAAATAATAGATCACAAAAATTGCACAAATATGATATAATAATTATCATTATTATTGATACCCTTATATTTGTGCAGTTTTTGTGATCTATTATTATTATTACTACATAAATTAAAAACATTTAAAAGTCATTTAAATAATAATGGCACAAATATAATGGTATAAATATTAAGAAAGAAGTTGATATTTATACATCTTGCATTGTAAGTCTGTGGTTGGTGCGTGCGAGTGCTTGCGTGTGTACGTGTGTTTGTGTTTAGGTATGAGCTTCCTTTAGTTCCTTGGTTCTCATAGGTCTCTGAAGGAAGTTAGAGCTGTAAATGTGTGTGTTTTCTCGCACCTTGACACCACTCTCGCCCACACCAACACTTCCTGCCCGCAGACTTTTTGCACCTTGTTCCAGGAGTGTGTCCAAATATGCATGCATGTATGTGAGAGAGCGTGCAATGATGCACATGTGGTCATTCCCACATGCACTGAAATCTCCAGCCACATACAAGCTCAGTGTCTTTGGTCTGACATTTGATTTACCTTATAAATGAGAACACGAGAGTGAGTAAACTATGACAGAATTTCCATTTTTGGGTCGGTTTAGTCATCTAGTTTATTGGGATAAAGCTGTCAAACCCACCATGAGACCCCTGTTGCATCATGGGTAGGCTTAAACCAGAAGTAAATAAGGCTTTAGAGAAGTCGTCTCATTCATCCAGCCCACCTTCCCTCACGCCCGGCACTCACCCAGCTGCGCTCGCTCACATCCCAGATTTGCCACACACTAATGCCCTTCTTGCTTTCATTATTCAGAAAGTTTTTTTAATTAGTTCCAGTCCCACGACTCCCACGGATCGATTACGGGAATGAAACATTCCTCTTCCTTCTGGAGTCTCAGCACAACTGTGTGCATCTAGACACAAACCGGCTGGACGAAGTGCCCTTAAACACCTCGCGAACATTTCTGCTGTCACGTCTACAGCCAAGATCTAGAAGCTTCTTCACTTTAACTTAAAGAGATTGTTCAGCCAAAATTGTGTTATCATATACTCACCCTTATGCCGTTCCTAACCTTATGCCGTTCCTAACCTTATGCCGTTCCTAACCTTTTTTGTTCTTTTGTGGAACATAAAAAGAGACATTTTGAGAAATATCTGTGTGTTTATGTCTACATAATGGAAGCCATTAGTCACCAAAACAGTTTGGTTATCAACATTCTTCAAAATATCCACAGAAGAAATAACATCATACAGATTTGGACAACATGAGGATGAGTCAATGATGACAAATTTTTAATTTTTGGATAAACTATCCCATTAAGTACAGCAAGGCCTGTCAGGAATACACTGTCAGGAAAATATTGTACCATTAGAAGTGGTAAAAGGGGTAACGTTTTACCTTATTCACCCGTAAAAGGTACATAATAGTACCTTAGAGTAGTAATATTAAGCTGCTACTGTGATCGTTTTAGGCATAAATATGGTACAAAGTTGTCCTTTTAAGGGTACTGCACAAGTGACAAGCTGTTGTACCCCCAAAGGTACAATTTTTATGAAAGTGTATATTTTCAGCCTTTAAATTTGAAATTTACCGATGCGATACGTGATACAAATGTTCTTAAATGGCAAACAAACACATCAGAAGTTAACACCGAAAACACTTGTTCTCGCAGATGCGCACAGAACATCCTGTTGAGTAAGCTCTGAAGAGATTGAGAAATCATGTTATTGAAGTGCTAAACCACAGAAAAGGGAATGGAAAGAGCTTGAGTTTCCTATTATTTCTTAATGTCTGAATGCCGGTTATTTGTTCGGCCTTGGATGGCGTCCAGCACCAAAGCCAATGGGGATGAAAAGCACCTCTGACATCAGACTCCGGTAAATCAAGAGATGGGGCGTCCCAACACATCACATAGAGAAAGGAACATGTCACCCTTCGAGTCTACATAATCAACATCTATCCATAGCCTCTACTTAAGTTTGCCTCGGAAAGCCGATCCGTTTATTCTTGTGGAGCGGTTGCTTTCCCAGAGTTCCTTTTGGGGGAGGGGTGAATGGGTGGGCAACCTTTAAGGTGTTGCTTTGCTCTCGTACTCTCTCTTTTGGTTTTGACTGGCAAGTCCTGGTGACTTTTGAAGTAGCCTTAGTAATTTGCATGTCAGATTCTGGTTGGGAAGGGGGGCAATGGAGGGAAACCTGAGTTCAAAACAAACTGCAGCAGATCTCTCACATTACTGCTTTGATGCATGAACAACTGGGGTCGTTAAACCAAAGGGAGGTCGACGGCCGTCCTGGATGGGTGTCAGTGTTGTTGTCTTCTTATGTGTACTTAGATCTTTTCTCACTTCCCTTATATTACGTCTAGATCTATTCTTAGACGCAACTTCCCGATTGTTGAGTCAAAAACGACCCGTCTTGAATGCCTGCACGCGTGCATATGGTACATTGTGGTTTCCAATGTGTGCGCTTTGTTATAGTTTTGTTTCTCTCAAATGGGTTCCATGCCAGGCGAAGATGGAAACACGCTGTCTAGAGAACAAAAAGAAAGCGAGGCATCAATCTCAGGCTGTTGCTTTACATCCAACGCTCTGGCAAGTCTCAGATTGGGAGCAGATTGCGTTGTGGCAAAGCACCACCTCCATTGCCTGAACCCAGTAATGCCTTGGAGACCAAAGAAACCAAACTAAGATTGACATGGCTCATTAAATTGATCTATTTACATGCCAGGCGAAGATGGAAACACGCTGTCTAGAGAACAAAAAGAAAGCGAGGCATCAATCTCAGGCTGTTGCTTTACATCCAACGCTCTGGCAAGTCTCAGATTGGGAGCAGATTGCGTTGTGGCAAAGCACCACCTCCATTGCCTGAACCCAGTAATGCCTTGGAGACCAAAGAAACCAAACTAAGATTGACGTGGCTCATTAAATTGATCTATTTGAACTTTCCATACGTGTGTTCCAGAATCATTCGTTTTGGTGACTCCTGTGTTACATCAGGGATTATTTGTTAGACTTCTGTGTTCTACCGCATTTCTAGATGTTGCCACGGGTGCCGTCTCTCCTCCGGTTGCCCTGGAGATGGGGGTGGGTCTTCTGTGCCAGCTGTTCCAGATGTGGGGCCAGGTGGCTGCTGGAATGGTGACCCTGATAGAATGGCTCCTGGGAGATGAACAATCAAATACAAGTTGTGAGGAGTCACTGGACTTGGTAAGGAGCACTTTTGCTTTGTTTTTTATGCATCACTGATTTTGCTTATGTTTGCGGGCTTTTTAAACTTTGTCACAGAACTTGTCCCCCGACGTCAGAATCATGACACGAAATTGGCAACTAATGCTGTTAATTTTAAAAACTATGAAATGTACAAGTTTCACATAGTGGATGATAACATTTTGTAGAAAATCCCATAGACTCACATTGATGAACCTATAGAGTGCAACAGTGCCCATCCCATCCCTTTTTTTTTTTTTTACAGCCTTGGTTCCAGAAGCATTCTCCCCATTATTTATTTTTTTTCCATAGGAATTTTAAATAAATTATTTCAAATAAATAAATAAAAATATTTGAAAATTGGATGAAACAACGAAGGTACAAGTCTTAAAGGGGTCATAGGATGCCCATTTTCCACAAGTTGATATGATTCTTTAGGGTCTTAATGAAAAGTCTGTAACATAGTTTGGTTAAAATTTCTCAATGGTAGTGTAAAAAACACCTTTTTTACCCTGTCAAAAACAGCAGCATTCGATGAAAGCCCTCCCTGCACTGCCCCAGTTTTCATCCACCATCGAGTTTGCCAAGATATCGCTGCTGAAAGAGAGAACGTCACTGGCTCAGAATCTTCTAGATACACTTAGATCTTAGATGACTGTGAAAGATACAGAATGTGAAAGGAGAGGTGCATTATGAACCTATTTTAATCTCACAGTGGTTTTCCTCTTTTAAGAGCTGAATTGCATGCAGGCATAACCACAAGCTTTTTTTTTTATTCAAATAAAGTTTATTACGCTCGTTTGACTGGGATTACTTTTGTACAGTAATGTGTGTTTGCGATACTGAGAACGAGGTTTTATTCTCCTCAGCTGTTTTCAATGTCACGTTTTCACACAGTGTGGTATTCGAGCAAGCTGTTGTATTTTTAATGCATAGCTTAACTGTTTTTAGTACGAGAAATTATTTGGTTGCTCCTCCTGCGTGTTATGCAATCAGAGCAAAATAGCCTGGTGTCTGTTTGCTAAGTAGACAGCTGGGCTGCCTTCAGGGGCTGTAGTAGCAATGTTCCTATTTTACTGTAAAATTATGTAATTTTTTGGAATGTCAGCAGCGTATTCCTCAGGGTGGGTAAAATCACACATGCTGTTCCCCTCACCAGGATCATTTTTGTTCTCATTTATGTATAGATGTGCTTCACTGAAACCATCAAAAATGGAATTGTAATACAAGAGTACTGCTGAGATATGCAATGGGAACTGGGAGAGAACAAAAACGAGGGAATGTGAAGTGAATTATATTGTTTGCCTGTAGGTGGCGCCCAAGCCCTTTTTTTCGACGATAAGCGTCGACACCGTAAGGGGGCAGTATTGTATCGTTTTTATTAGAGTTGATAGTTTGAGTTTCTTGAAGGATTTGATTTTTACTTTGTTGCAACTTGTTTAAACTTTTATGTCTGTGTTTTCTAAATTAAGGATACAGTGCAAAACATTATGAGAATTATGAAATTTATAACATTGTTTATTTAAAAATGCATTTCTAGGCTAAAATGGACTATTTATACTGGGAAAGATAAGCAGAGGCAACCGTCACATGCAGACAAGTGTCATAGTTTCGCACTCTATGCATCAGATCTGGCACAACTTCAAAGACTGGCCTCTCGGTCTAGATTATGCAATCGAACTCCCCCACTAAACATTTCCTGATATCCGAGCGACCAGTCTCGCGCGCGCATGAGCCTCGTGTACGCCGAGTGTCAACACTGCGTGTATATGCATGATATAAGTTTCTTCCATCAGTTTCCCCCACTGTTAACATTTTGTTTAAATAGGATGCCATGTGCGTTTCCTATACGAATATGGGGTTTATGTAATGCGTATATGAAATAAACGTATATTTGTAAAACTACTCATAATGTGGTAGTATTTATATATTAGTATTTATTGACTTTTCTTGTTTTAGAACTATATGTTGATTGCACTGAATTAATCTTGTAAATTGTGCAGTGTTGGAGGTGCTGTGAGTGAGTGAGTGAGTGAGTGTGTGCGCCGCAGGAGGGGTGCAGAAAGCGACCAATCAGATCCACAGTCCTGGCGACACTTGAAAAAAAGCAGGGCGTAACATTTGAGGCAACTTTCGCAGTAAGATCCTCCTCCTCTTTACGCGCTGTCCTCAAGCTTATATGTGCGGGAGAGTAAAGCAGACTCTTTACTGTTCTGGCTCGGCACTGCGCGGTGGGAGAAGACTCACGCAACAAAAACACACAACGAGGAACTCAACCTTCCTTCTCTGAATTTCAGACCACATCTGAGAGTAGCCTTTTGTGTTCCGTATCTCTTGCACAAATTCTAAGCCAGTGGCAAACTAAACGCCTTCGCATCCAAAGGCTCCAGGTCGGTCCTCAAATGAGAGATAATCTGCGACTGTCTTCTTCTGAAGAAACAGAAATGTCTGCGACCATCCTGTCCGCTTTCTACGACATCGACATGCTGTACAAGGTACTTTGCTGATTTAACAAACCGCTACTTGCATGCATCTGATCTCTGCTTGAACTTTTTGACGATTCGAGAAGTTTTAGCCGTATAACAAATTCATGCATGGCTGAGACGAGTACATAAATAGTTTTGCAACTACTTTGCATTGATTTTAACTTTTTCTCTTCTTTCCTCCTCTCTGCACAGCAGGAGAAGAGCCTCAACATAAACGCCATACATATTAACAGCATGCTGGATAAGAAAGCTGTCGGGGCCCCGGTAACAACCTCCAGCAGCAGCAGCACCAACAACTGCAACTCGTACGCGTCAGGATTCTTCCGTCGAAACTCCACCAGCAACATGGAGTCCATGACAAACGGCAACAAGTACCCCGCCAGCTCCTACAGCAGCATGAAGGAGAACGCCATTATGAATAAGGAGAACAAGTTTCGCGACCGCGCCTACAGCGAGAGCGGCCAGCAGCTGCAAGTGCTGCAGCAGAAGCCGGGCTCGCAGATCAACTCCACCCGCTACAAGACGGAGCTCTGCAGGCCCTTCGAGGAAAACGGAGCGTGCAAGTACGGCGAGAAGTGCCAGTTCGCGCACGGCTACCACGAGCTGAGAAGCCTGTCTCGCCACCCGAAGTACAAAACCGAGCCCTGTCGCACTTTCCACACCATCGGCTTCTGCCCGTACGGCCCGCGCTGCCACTTCATCCACAACGCCGACGAACGCAGACCAGCGCCGAGCAACGCCAAAAGCATGCAGGGAGAGTCCACCAAGTCCGCCCGGGGGGAGCCGGTGTGCGGCTACGGGCAGCAGCACCAGCAGGCGGCGGGAGCCTTCAGGGAGCGACCGAAACTCCACCACAGCCTCAGCTTCTCGGGTTTCTCCAGCCACCACCACCACCACGGACTCGACTCGCCCCTTCTCGAAAGCCCTACGTCCCGAACCCCCCCTCCCCCTTGCTCCAATCGTTCCTCCTGCGCCACTAACTTCTACGAAGACGTTCTCTCGTCGACTCGCAACAGTGCCTTCTCTTTCCCCGGCCAAGACCTCAAAGCCCTGCTTGCGCCGCTGGCCGTGCACACGCACAACGGTTATTACGGAAACCTTCAGGTCAACATGGGCGACGGCCTCGGCCACTTGCAGTCCCTCCACCGCCTGTCAGAGTCGCCGGTGTTCGACTCGCCCCCCAGCCCGCCTGACAGCATCTCGGACCGGGACAGCTACGCCAGCGGCTCGCTCAGCTCCTCCGGAAGTCTCAGCGGCTCTGAGTCTCCCAGTCTGGACGGCGGGAGGCGTTTGCCCATCTTCAGCAGGCTGTCGATTTCCGATGATTAATCCGCTTCTTTTTTTTTTTGAGTGGACTCGATAGCGGAGGAGTCTCCCGTTAGATATGTAGTTCAGGCTCAGCAATAGACTTTAATATCGAGGGAGATGGATTTGTTTGTCAGACGCCTGACACGGCATTAGTCTGTTTGAACTGCGTTGAAGGCATTCCACCGGAGCAGTTTGTTGCATTCTCTTGGTCTTTTTGGACCACCTACTTTCCACATTTGTACAAAAGACTTTTGTTTTTTTTGTTTTTTTACGTGAAAGACGGAGCGGTTTCAGATTTTCCTTTATCCTTGCCAAGAATATGCCTTGACAACAAGTATACTAGTTTTCAAAGTATGTACATCCATTCCAAAAGTTCTCCAGTTTCGCGGCGCCACCCAGTGGTTTGGTTGGTTTGTGCAGTTTGAAGCTCTCTCCTTTGGCTGTTGGGAAATCACTGCTGATGGTTGAATACCTTTTTAAAAAATTTTTTTTTTTAGCTGATATGAGTGATTACATAGCAGTGCATAACTGGCTATGAACTATTTAACTTATTTATTTTATCTTGTGAAAAGTATAGGCTACATTGTTAATTGTGTCCATACTGTATTTATCGAGTATGATGAAGCAATAGATCTATATTCTTTTATTATTTTTAAATTATGATGGCCATTATTAATCTACATAAAGTGGAGCGTATGTTCTTTTCACAGTAATATATATTTTTGTTTGGTCTCTTTTTGTAACTTCACTTTATTTTATGGTAAATGAGTAAAAAAAAAAAACATCTTAATTTAAGAGATTGTATGTGATATTTATTTCATTCATTTTGTTTCCTTGTTTACGTTCATTAAAAACAGTTTGTGTGATTTGCTGTTTGTTGGGATGTTACTTTTCGGAAGGGTTTTTTGTTTGTTTGTTGTCGTTTTGGAGAATCGTCAGACGTGTCCCTTTAGGTTTGTCTGTAGAATGTATAAACTGTGGTTGGCAGAGGACCGTCCGAGCGTATACTAGCCTTAAATTTTCATAGAAATCAGATTTCAAAGATCCCAAGTAAATCGATTAACCAAAAAGTATTTTATTTTTTTATACGTATGTCTATACAATGCACGGCAGCCACGTGCGTGAGAATGTAGCAGACCAGAGCCCCAGTATTACTGCCTAGTGCCTGTGGGGATTCACCATCTTACATTGCCTTATGATTAACCAAATAAAGTATTTTCA